CAAGGCATGCTTACTTAAATGGATCAATAGCCTATTTTCTTCCTTGGTTACTGAATCTTGGAAATATCATATTTCTACTCTCAGGTTATTCCCTGCTTTCTTGAAATTTCAGTGCTTTTTATGGGACTTTATTGTACAAGACGAGATTTTTACCTTTCAGTCTTGCATTTCTAAACTATTGGTAAGATCTTATAAAGTATCAGGATGTAAGAAATTATAAGGTGCAAAAGTTTAAACTTCTTATTCCCATTTCAGTTTCTATTTATAAGAAAACTAAAAACTAAACATACACACACACATCCCAACCTCCCATTTAGTGGGTGAGCTAAGGTTAGCAACTTAAACTGTTTATTTCAGGAAAGTACAATAAAACCTGCAGCAGTTCAGAATGTTAAAGTACATCTTCCTGGGGAGCAACTGTGAGCAGACACATAACTGCAATTTTTTATTTTGTTTTTTGCAGTATCTTACCACCTTGCTTCAGTAAAATGACCTTGGTGTTCTAAGGTATTCATATAGAAGTCACTTTGCCACTTGAAGTTTAAAACTACTTGCCTTCCAGCCATCAGGCTGGCATTTTTATTCTGCTCAGGCAGCATTTGTTAATGCCATAAATGTCAGAGTTGATCAAGATTCCATCCAGGTTTCCCTTTTCTGTTATTGATTTGCATTTTATCACATTTATTTTTAAAACTTACTATGTCCACTGGATTCATTTACAACAACACTGCCTCCCCAACCAAAGGAGGGCCGTGATAAATAGTTTATGTACAAGTTCTTGGAAGTCTATGCACACCCTGGGGATAAAAGAGTAATTCAAACATCAAGCTCATGGGGTTGTCATAAGCGATTGTCTTGTAGAACTGAGGGACAGAGAAATGCATTATCTACACAGAGTCCCAGTCAGATTTTTTAAAGCTATTTTCTCTGTTGCATTTTTGCTTCTTTGCATTTTCCAAGTCATGTAAGGGGATCAGAAAATAATTGGATCTGGTCATCTTGCAGTAGAGAGCATTCAGCCAGCCAGCCACTTGTCATGTTCAGTCTTAATGTCAAGGCTGCACTCCAAGTATACATTTTGCATCAACTTCACTGGGGCTGAGGGAAGTGAAGATTTGCTTAAAGCAATGTTCACTTTTCAAATAGCCTTGTACACCATGCCCTTTAAGTTGTTAAAAGATTATCTAAGCAAATAATGTGGGACTCTAATATCAGCTTCTAGTATATCCATATCTTCTTAATATGTTTTTTTAAAATTTGGTGATGCCAAATTCATTAGATAATAGGTTAAGGAACACAGTCTAGCATGTGTGTATAGGTTCCCTCCACCCCAGCTGCAATCCAGATTCAAAAGATCCCTTCATGTTTACTCAGATTTAATGCCCAATAAATTAAATGGGGCTTACTCACCAGGTACATAGACTTGTACCCTAAAGTCAATTACAGCTTTTAAGGCAGATTCTAGGGAGAAGAGGAACTTCAGCCTACATCTTCACATGTTGAAAGGATGTAATCAAATCAGGCTGTGCCACTGTCAGCATGGATACAAATGGTTCCTGCCTGGACAGTTGCCTGGTGTGTGAGCATCAAGAGGCTTGAATATCTGGTCAGCAACCAGCCTTGCATGGTTTTTAACATGGTGCTGCTGACTGCATTCACCATCAGCTCCACTTTGGCAGGGAACGTCATCACTGACCACCACTGCCTAAAGTCACAATATTGCTTTAAAAATGAAATGAAATAGAAATCTGACTAGTGTTCTTCCTACAGTCCAAGACTATTACCTTCCTGTTCTACATTACTCATTGAGAATTGTCAACAAACAGTGTTTCTCAGTGTTGACAGGAAACAAAAAAGAGTTCCATCTTTGGTAATTATTTCCGTTACTTCAAGAATATTGTCCTACATTTCACTCATGTGTACATAAAGACCATGCTACATTTGGTCTGTTCAGAGTGATATTGGTACTCACGAGAATCCCAAATAGTTGCAAATGTATAGCAACCATTATGTGCAACCATAAGGTTTACATGTATCAGAGCAGTATTTTGAATAATGTGTATCTGAAGACCCCAGTTCTCACAACAGCACTGAGTGCTTCCTATATGGGACAATTGTCCTATAGCCACATAGTTGAGAGATTTCAAAGCAGGCTGCCATTAAATTATTAATGGCCTCGGCCCAGTATACCTGAAAGAGTGTCTCCACCCCCATCGTTCTGCCCGGACGCTGAGGTCCAGCGCCAAGGGCCTTCTGGCAGTTCCCTCATTGCGAGAAGCAAAGCTACAGGGAACCAGGCAGAGGGCCTTCTCAGTAGTGGTGCCCGCCCTGTGGAACGCCCTCCCATCAGATGTCAAAGAGATAAATAACTACCTGACATCAGAAGACATCTTAAGGCAGCCCTGTTCAGGGAAGTTTTTAATGTGTGACATCTTAGCGTATTTTTCGTCTTTGTGGAAGCCGCCCAGAGTGGCTGGGGAAACCCAGCCAGATGGGCGGGGTACAAATAATAAATTATTATTATATTATTATTATTATAAATGTGAACTAAAGTTTGGTGGTTTATGTTGCTTTCCTATGTGGTTTCGGGGGGGGGGGAGAGAGATTTGTTATGAGTACTTTCTACCCAGCTTAAGTAAATAACAATTAATTGTTTGTTTAAAAGCAAAGCTAGATAACTTGGACTATGGAATGAAAAGCTTTATACCTTCTTCTTATCCATTGCACACCGTCTAGCTTGTACACTTCGATAAAGTATCATATGGAAGCTTAATGTAATTTAGCATCTTTATGTGAGATTCAGCTTCACAACTATTGAGAACTTCAAGGAATTGATGGCTTTTCAGCAGAAAAGTACAAATTTCAGCATGAAGTACAAACTGACCATAATGTATAGAAAATATTGGAAACCAGCCTGAATGCTGATAAGAAGAAAAATGGCTTTTTAAAAAACGTATGAATAAGAATCTTGGTTGCTTTAATTAAGGGTTGCCTACATCAAAGGAAGACATTTGAAGCCATGCATGTGTATTAGTAAAGTACTTGCAAAGGAGCAGAGAAACTGGATACTTCCAAGAACCTCACAGTAAGGTTGCTTTAGGAAATAGATTTCTGTTAGTTCTGATGTGAATTGACATGATCTGCACCTTTGGATCAGAACGTAATTATTATTTGGACTTTGGACTTTTCTGAATGTTGTGACAGAGGGCTCAGTTCAGAAAACCTATCCCAATGCATTGAAATGCATATTTTAGCATGAAATATATTTCGGAATGCATACATTTTCACCTTTTTCTTAATGAAAGTCTCAAAAGAAAAGTAAAGATATATCTCAAAATTTTCTATAGAGTATTACACCTTTTGGCAAGACAGTAGTTGATTTTTCTTTCCATGAAACATATAAATATATTTTAAGTGAACAGTTTAATAAAGTGATATATGGATACTGCAGCATTAAAAAAAATTCTCATTTTAGATTTCTCTAAGTCATTGGATCCTGGTTACATTAATTTTGTTGGACCACTCATTATACACTATCCGTCCTATCACAGTGAAAACTGTGTTTATTGTTTTTATATTTTTCAAGTCTGTGTGGATGCTACTTCTTATTATAACAGTCTTTCCAGTCATTTGTCTTTCATGAAGTCAGTAGGGTGGCAAAAGCTGACAATCTATGAAAATGTTGCAGACTTTGACAGTAGATAAAGTATTTGGGTTGGGATAAGAAAATATTCATTAAGCTATTCATACCTCTTTCTCCAGCCCCCTTCATCACCCTAACTGAGATAACATATTTCTTACCTTGATGCTTTTTAGACTAAACACATTTTAATTGCATGTTAAAGTAAACCTTAGTGGTTTCCCTCATTCTTCTCTCCATTTTATGCCAGTGTCATCTTACTTTCCATTATCAATTTAGCACACAAACGGTTGAAATTCTCTAGATTGTCCTCTAATTGGGTCAGTGTTGTATTCATGTGTGTCTGAATTTGTATATAAGGTCCAAATAAAATGTTACATGAGAAGTGTGACAAAAATCACCCATTTGTTTTTTACTGAACAGTTTGCTTGGAAGAATGGTAGGGGAAGAGTCTACATGAGCATTTGCACAGCTGTTGTTTGTCTGCTCGCTTTACAAAGCTGTTTTTCTTCCACTAGGGATATTGATGATCCTTTGTCCCATTGGTTGAAATGGCCATTGAGGAGAATTTTAATTGGACAAATGGCTGTGCACACACACTATACCTCTAAAACACATTCAAAGCACACACCCTCAAAGAATTCTGGGCATTGGAGTTTACCCCTCACAGAGTTTCCATTTCCAGCAACACTTAACCAACTACAGTGCCCAGAATTCTTTGAAAGAGAAAAATGTGCTTTGAATGTGCTTTAAAGGTGTAGTGCGTACGCAGTCTTACTAGCTGCTTTCTCACTCCTGATCACAGGTTCTGATGCCATTTGTCATATACTAAAAACCCCATAAATCATGTTTCTCCTGTGTAGGATATAATTTGACCCTAAGATGATGATGATGATGATGATGTTGTTGTTGTGGTGGATGTGTATTTTCAGTTCTGTGGTGCTATGGACCTGACCCTTTGAGTCTTTAACAAGGTGATATCTGCTAGTCTAAGAAGCTTGAAAAGTTGCCATGTTGGATGCATCTATCCTACATCGCTCAGAATAAGGAGGCCCTGTATAGCACTGATTCTTTTTCTATTTTATTTATTTATTTTATTTAACAAGATTTATGTTTAAAACAGACCTATAAGTAGTTTACATAAAATAATATAAAATATTAATAAGAAAATACCAATAATATCAACAGACTTTAAAAAATAGCATATATAAAATAAAAAATATCAAACATTGTTTGTTTTTAAGATATTTCTCTTCATACAACTATGGTTCCAGGACAGTTTACAGCTCATAGATCATACAATTGTAGAGATGGAAGGGACCTTGAGGATCATTTAGTCCAACCCCCTGCAATGCAGGAATATGCAGCTATCCCACATGGGGATCGAACCTGCAACCTTGGCATTATCAGCACCACACTCTAACTAACCGAGCTAGCTGCACACATGCTACTTATAATACAACCAACATTATGAAATACAATAAAATTCACCAAAATTCCAACCACAATTAAAATTTTTAACAATAAATTTGGTCCTTACCCAGCAATAAGCACCTGAGTGAACAGAGAAATCTTTAGCAGGAATTGAAAACTTATCAGAATAAATGCATGCCTTATTTCATAGAGGAAGGAGATTTTCCGTTCTGGGTGCCATGACAGAGAAGACTGCCCAAGTTGCATCAGACCATATGGAAAGTGACACCATCCTGAAGAATGAAGGTAGGAATAAGGACACCGTGATTCTCTAATATAATGACAAACTGTGGAATATCAATGCAACTGTTGCCTAAAAAGCAGAATTCATCCCTGCCCCCTGATGCAGGATCTATGTAGGGTAAAAGGAGTATATGATGCAGGATTGTGTGATTAAATGGTCTAAATTGCTGTTGAAAAGTCAGTCTTGCCTGTTCTTCTGGGAGCTGGTGCAGCTGATATTAGCAAATCTTTTTAAAAGTAATAGTGAAAAGTAACTTCAATTTTAAACCTGGGGACTGTGAGACTTTTCTCCAAGTATCAGATGTTTGGAAAACAGTGCAACACTGAAAGATATGACTACCCCTAGCTATCTTCTTCTTCTTTGGCGGTCGCTCGTAGCCAAGTAAGATTGTCTTCCATAAAGACGATTTTAAAAGTGAGTCTGTAAGTGCCTGTGGAGGCCGATTCTGAATCCACATGTCCTTCCACAGTGGGGACTTTGGGTTTGGGTTTGGGTTTGGGATAGGTTTTTGGAAGACGCCTGTGTGTGAATTTGTTTTGTGTGTAGAGCAGTGCATGTTGACCAATACACAGTCTTCACCGTAAGGCTTTATTCCAATGGCACGACAACCAGTAGATTCATATCTGCTGCAGCCTTCATCTGCCTTCACAGCCGTTGTAACACACTGCTTGTTATCTTCCACCTGTTCTACTATTGAGGACTTTTTGGATCATTCTTAGTCTAGCTCCTCCCCTTTGACCTTACCGCCTTGGGTGACCCTGTTGGGGGTAGGAGACTACCAATGGCTTTGCTCACAAGGGTCATAGGAACATGCAAGCCCACTCACCACGACAAGGTGATGATCCAGCAAGTGAACATAGGTCTCTATATCTAGGACAGCATATTGCAGTGGTGCTCTGGGCAGCATTTGACATTTATTTTGCAGTGTTGACCTCTTAAGTATTAGGACACGAGGAGTTAGCCAGCAAAGTTGTTCAGCTGCACCCAGTTCAGGGGGGGGAGCCTCTGGAACACATGGTCACTAGCTGCAAGCAGCTTGCAGGACATTTTGAGGTTTTTAGGTTGAGGTTTTTAATGTTATTGTACATCATTCTGATGTTTTGCAAGAAGGACGAATATAAATAAAATAAATAAATATTACTCATTGCATTCCACTCCCACATCTGACACACATCTGCCAAGACACACAAGCACATTATCTATCTAATCACTTCAATATATCCCACTTAGTCACCAAACACTATCACCAATCACTCATTTCACTATATTCTTAAGTGTTTATACCACTACAATTTTTAATAATAAAACACCTTGTTAATGTGTCATACCCTAAATTATTATAGACAGAGCACCTCATTCATAGTTCTAGGACAATATATTTGCATATATATATATATATATATATATATATATATATATATATATGAATGAAATATGTTTAGGAGTGGTTGGTGCATTTGTTTGTGCTCCAGTAGAATACTGCTTTCTGTTTGCAGTATGCCAGTGTTTTCTTATATATAAATGAATAAAGAATAAATCTAAACAAGAGAACAGAGAGAACAGCTTGGAAGCCTTGTTGATTTGTTCTCCTGTTGTTGTTTTTTCCCCTCAGCAGAAACTGCAAATTAATTTTGTTTCTTTTTTTCTCTTCCAGTTCTTTAACGGTGCCTGACAAAAACCAGGGGGACCAGGAAAAAACTTGGGAGTAAGTAATTAACATTCAAAGCCTTAGCATTCAGACACCTTTTATACTTTCTCTTGCATCCAACTAGCAAGACATTTCCAAACAAGCCTTTAATTAACAGGTGAGTTTAATTGATATGCGGGTTGTCTTTGACCAGCAAAGACCTTAGTGAGGAGGAGGGAGGACTCCATCATACTTACTCACAATTGAAGGCTATTAATCCATTTGCAGCTCAATCTTTGGTAAGGGGTGGGGGCTAGAATCAATTTACTGTCATGAAGGAAGAAGTCAGAAACCAAAAGGCTACAAAACAGCTTGGGGTTGGAATGAATCACTTTGCAGTAATTTAATGTGCTTTAATCAGAACCCTTTCTGAAGGATGAACACTCATTCTGAAGGACTGGAACACTTCAAGTTTCCTTAGGATTTATTCAGGCACACACCTATTTTATTAACGCCATTGCATACTTGCTTGGACTGTGTTGCATAATTACTTTTAGCACAGCTTATTAGATGAAGTTAATTCAAAATACCCTTTCTTAAAGTCATCCTTTCTGCAGCCTAGATGCATAAAACATAACCACTGATATCTATATGCTACTTATGCAAAATTGGTAATTGAGCCTGCAAATCACCTTAAAGCTAGCGAACCATCTGTTCCAAACTGGTATATGACAGGGTATTTGAATATGAGAGGATAATTATCAAACAACTATAGGCCTTCTTTGCTTGATCAGGTGAAAATATTATAGAGAACAGTGTTGGGTGGGGGTGGGGGTGTCCAATTTATACAACCTAGGGTGGAATTGTACATCTGCTGTCAATCAGGCTGCTATGCCGTGTTGCTGTTTGCTTGCTTTTTGCCTTTAGCAGTGTTAGGAGGGAAAAGGAGGACTAAACCTCCTACAAATAAAAAAATGTTATTGGAAGCATTATTCAACACTTCCATCATGATGATAAACTTAACATGCAGCAAGGCAACCAATGCTGCACATGATACATAATATACTAATGTTTTAGTAAGTATTTGGCTACTCTTGGTTAAATCTACATTCTTTTATTTGCGTGCAAAATGTCAAATGCTTATGGTATTCCTAGGTGTTTCATGGTATGGGCCAACCATGCCACTTGAACAGAGCTGCATAAAACAAGACAGTAAAAGCAACTGGGTTTCAAATATGAATAGTTTTGTCAGTGGAACGGACTACGTTGGGAGGCGGTGGATTCTCCATCATTGGAGATTTTTAAGCAGAGGTTGGAGGGTCATCTGTCTTGGATACTTTAGTTGAGATTCCTGTATTGCAGGGGGCTGGACCCTCGAGGTCACATCTAACTCTATGATTCTATATTTCACATATGTTTTTCTTTGGGAAACTAATTTTCAATGAGTGTATTTCACCCATTACATTCATGATATTGATAACAAGGGGAGGAGGAATGGACAGCAAAATCTTTTAGCACTGTAAGTGCCTAAGCATGCAGCAGAAACAGTACATAGAATTCCATGTGTCTCATTATGTTTTTGCTCACCAGCTTGTGTAAAGTATGAATGTATTATAATTAATTTATAATAAACACCTGAAAATAGTTGTATATTCTTCTTTTAATAATATACCAGCTGGCCCATCGAGAATTTCATCCATTCCACACACAAAAATGTAATTGTTCTAAAGTAGTGATATCTCCATTTATCTTCCCTGGAAGACGATGTTTCATCGTCAGGTGGTCCTATCCTAATATATCATTAAAATAACTCAAGTCTTTCTCTATGTATTTTTAGAATCATATCTTTCACTATGGCTATATATAATTCATGCTGGTAAAATATGACATTTATCACATTTGTGAAGGGAGGACAAATAACCCATAGTAGAATGTGTGTAAATTAGGTACACTATTACAAGTTTTATTTGCCTTCCTTTTCATTTGTTCTATTTTCTATTTAGGGGGAAATGTCCACATAGAATGTTCTCTTCCAGCTATCAGAAATGTAGATTTTTATTGTGATTATAGCTCAGTATAGGTTTGATGTGATTGACTTGGAAGAGACGGATGTGCTCTTTGAGGTGTACCTAGTGTTTTTGCACACATGAGCTTTCAACCACAGCATCAGAACAGAAGCAAGGGCTGGGTGTGGGATGATTTCCCCACATAGCATGCTCTGTGCACTTAGGACTTGTGGCGAGAGATCCAAAAGGCAGCAATCCATGCATGAGGTTTGTTTCTGTGCACACATCTGGACTGGGGTGTGTTTCAGCAAATCTGTCTTGGGGAAGGTATAGCAAGATTGAAAAAACTGCTCAGCATGGACTATTTTAGAAGAGTGGAATGGAGAAGAACCCAAACTGCCCAGTGATTGTGCATATAGCGCAGAATTTTTCTAACAAAAAATAGAGGGAAGTGTCTGCACAAGAGATTAAAGAATGTTTGTCTCATTGTAAGGTTATAATAATAACTGCCCTTCTCTGATCACTAATTGCTTGTACTTGTGCCTCTGAATGTCAGGTTTGAACAGTTGGATAACAGTTAATTGGAGCATAAACTAGGAACACACTCCTTGTTGCTGTCCTGGGTATTATTATTACTTGTATTTTTGTTCCCTATCTTTGGTATATTTTAGATGCTAATTGTACATTAGATCTCTCCTAGTCTTTGAAGTACTACTTTTCATCTCTTCCTTTATCCTCTTTCATGCTTAAGATTTGCTGTTTTGGTGGCAGCACTCATATATTCATTAAGTATCGTGCGCGCTTACATTTATTCTGATTTAAATAGCATTGTGTATTTATTTGCGACATCATAAGGAGGAAAGAAACAAAGGTTGGGTGAACTGGGCCACATTTATTAATTTAACACAACGGATTAGCAGGAAGGAACCAAGATATGGAATACTAACTGCACATAGAGCCAACCCTGGCAAGGGGAAGAGACAGCATTTCAGCTGCCCCTTCTTTTAAGCCCCATGCTTTCAGGTGAATAGGGAGGCCTCTGCTTCACTTCTTCCCAGGATCCCACAACTCCAAGAGGGTGTTGCATGTTGG